CATTATTTAAGTATCTTTGAGTATTTAACATCCTCGGCATGGACAACACAGCATTACAACATAGAGTGAGTACTCTACACTACTCGTTATACAAATAAACATAGAGTCTCACCTTGCACGTATTTTACATTATTTCTAATACAATTCATAAAAATATATTCACAGACAGCAATATTACTCCATTCAATTTAATTCAAACATCGATGCACTCACGGCATTAACAGTTTACACACACAAAATTAACAAACAATAATCTCGTGCACTCACTGCACGCCAGCCACACTCACAGTGGCACTATGATCACAAATTTTCACTATGGATGGTCGCCGGTTACCCTGCCTCACGGATACCACGTGGGCAATCATGGATCGCTCAGCAAAGGTAGTGGTCAGAGGTCTAGTCAAGAAGAAAGTGTGTGGCCCGTGGTGCACCCGCTCCTACTGTCGGTGTCACCACCACTTCCTCTTCCCCAAGGTATTTCTACCGTCCTCATCTTTCACACCCCACTATATCGTTGAACCATTCACAGCACGTTAATCACGCTCCATTCACACACATCGCAATGTTCATTCTTAGTATACAGCATAAAGCCCACAGTCATTCATAATACACGGTACTAGGCCCTCATTCGTTTTACAGTACACAGTGCAAAGCTTACCTTCATTCATATTACATGGCCCTTGGCCCCACATTTATTCACAATATTCATTCAAATATACGGCATAAGTGCCCATAACCATTCATAATACTTGACATATATGTCCTTATTCTATTACACGACAATTTATTATATAATTCACATTCATCAGTTTTGGGTAAACACACATTCTTTCATCCACGCACATAATATTCGCATCCCACGGCCCATGGCCCACATCATATTTCACAACCATTCCCATTAACACATATTTCCTACCTTCTAACTCAGCCACATCACAATATTCAACAAAATAAACGGCTAAATCACATATATTGAGATAGGGTAGAGTCTCCCCTTACCTTGAATTGAAGACTCACATTCGAATTCAACCACGGAAGTGCTTTCCACACGGATTTCGTCCTAAATACATGGAAGAATTCCATGAGAACCCAGGAAAATCACGAAAATAGAGAAGGGCAATGAAAAAATGAAAACCCTAACTATTAAAACTCACCTTCAAGCATTCCCAACACGAATCCAACCTTCAATCAACCTCTCGAATGGCTTTGGAAGCAATTTAATCAGTGGGATAGGGTTTTGGGTCGAGAGAATCAAAGAAATTTCAAAGGGAATGTGAGAAATAACCTTTCTCGAACCCTAACCCCCTTTAAATCCTCTCTGGTCGCGACACTCTCGCTACAACAAGATATTCTCACTGCAGCAAGGGGATCTCGTTACACCGACTCCCTTCCTCGCTACAGCGAAAAACTCAAACAAAACTGCACTCTGGTTTCTGCAGAATCTCGCTACAACGAGACCCTCTCACTACAGTGAGACTGCACCCAGAAATGCAGCCCAAACTGTAGCTTTGTCACTGCAGCGAGAGACCTCTCGCTACAGTGACAAGGCAACAATTTCATCCTTCTCTTCCAGTGCCCTCTCGCTACAGCGAGAATCCTCTCACTACAGTGAGAAAGGCACAGTTTCATGCCTCACGCCCAGGGGCCTCTCGCTACAGCGAGAATGCCCTGCAACAGCATCCATACTTAGCCTGTTTTCAGCCCAATCAATTCAATTCAATTATATATATATATATATATATATATATATATATATATTTATATTTATATTTATATTTATATTTATATATACACACACACATCCGTATACATTATATCCACAAATATCATCATTTCGCATTCAAATGCAAATTATATCTTTTACATTTACACGTGCATATAAACACATATACATATATCAATAATAATTAATATTACAAAAATTTGGGGCGTTACAATAGTTGGTCCTTAGCTAATACGAAATTCTATCTCAGGAACTAAAACAGCTTAGATAAGCAACTAAGAAATCTACTCAGTTATACTATTCTGGATTTTAATCTAGAATCTGACCATTCAGCGACTTATTCCTGACTATATCAGGACTAACTACTCAATTAACTTTGTAATTGTTAAACGAATAACTCAACTTAAATAAGCTCTCCTTACTTGGAGCGAGTTCCAAGATCTTGTTTCTCGTGAATTCCCAAAGAAATAAATCAAGGGTTTGAGTACGAGATATAGCTCAAATAGTTCAGATCTACTCAAAACAACATGTATAAGTCTCTTGAGAAAGAGAAAGCAAGAAACAAGAGTAAAGACGAAGAACTAAGCTCCAGAAACTCACTTAGATCTTACTAAGATAGAAGATCTCACTTCAATTGGGAATAAATTCGACTTCGAGAAGATTTTCTCTAAGAAGAGAAAGTGAAAGAACAGAGAGAAACGGAAGAGAGAAGCCGTCTGGTGAGAAAATAAACGTTTCTAGCGCTGAGGCCCTTTAAATACCCTTATAGATCCACGCGCACTCGCCTCAGCGAGATAATTCTCGCTTCAGCGAGATTCTCTCTTGCCTAGGCGAGCTCACCCTTGCTTGGGTGAGAAAACCAGACAGTGGAATCTCTCAGATTTTTGCAATTCTCGCTTAAGCGAGCTCTATCTCGGTTGAGCGACCAGCGTTCTCGCCTAAGCAAGATCGGGTCTAAAGAGCCACGCAGTTTCCTGCTACTCTTCACGTGAGCGAGCTTCTCTCGCTTGAGCGAGGTTGCCTTTCGCCTGAGCGAGATCCCTTCTCGCTTGGGCGAGGGGATAGTTGGAGTGATCCTATCTTGTCTCGCTTGAGCGAGAAAACTCCAGAATGTTCCATTCTGCACGACTCAGTCTCACTTGAGCGAGACACTTCAACATCTCAAACTCTCAATTCGTTCTAAAATAAAACAACACAAGTACTTGGCTATAATTCTTAAGTTATCACACATACAAATGCTTAAAACTCAATTCCTAACCTGCACTACCAACCACTTTCAACAAAACCATCATACATCACTGTGAATACATTATTACCCATCTAGCAATTATACAACTTCCTCATTATCTAAGCATATACAGCACTATTTAACAATAATACCTGTTTAAAACATTTGACATCTAATCAAAACTTTCGGTACTAGTCTTACTCAATGATTTATCATACGGCTCTACAACTCACGACTTTCCTCTGGTAACTACACAGCTTATCCACTCACAATCCAGCATATGGAATTACATATTATCTAAATACATGTATTATGAATTAATAGGAATAATTCATTTATAAATATGTTGGCCTGACAACAACCAACCCATTTATAAAGTGACATTTAATAACTTGTTATAATGAAATTAATAAATCCTGCTTTGTGATATTTATTATTAATTATTGTCATTATCGTACCATTTATATTACAGTTTATGGAAGTTTTTTATAAATAATTATATCTCGAAGAAATTTTTATTGTCGTCATAATAAATCCATTTATACGCAAAGTTCGTATTTTATCTCAAATCATTAATAATAAAATACACATTGTACAGATTTAAGATTTTAGGGTGTTACAGTGATCATACTCAAACATAATATGTATCACACCACTCGTGTGCACTTATGTACGGTAACAATTTGAGGGGAGAGAGATTTATAATTTATTAACCTTAATAATTTATCACAAAATCTTTTTTAGTCTTTTTGAACTAGCATAATTTTTTTTATCATAACTCTAATTATATAAATTATATGTCTATCTCATATTTTTTTAAAATTTATTCAATTAAACATCTAAAGAGGGTTTAAACAAAAAAAATTTCTAAAATTCTAACATTTTATCTATTCTTTCTAATTTTACGATTTTTGCTTCCTCATTTTTATGAAAAATAAGTGTATTTTGGTCTATTGAGGATTAACATTTTCTTTAATTAAAATTTATTTATGCATTTTCTTATTATTCAATGATTAACAAGTCTTGAAAGTTATGTAATATGTCATTTATGTGCTAACGTGAACATTATCGACCTTTGAAAGTTTAAAACTAATAAAACCAAAAAATTTAAGTACAAATATGCTAAATTTGAGCACGAAATATGTTATAAGTCGCATACTCCATACTAACTTAAACATGATTATACTAAAATAAAAGTAATATATTTCAAAATTTTATAAAAGATAACACATTTATTTTATTTTTTTATTTATACAAAATTTCTCTATAATTATTTAGATCAAATGTACCCATTTCATGTTGCACACATGTATAATTCAAAATACATAAATATGAGTCCAATAATTAAAAGAATAGTTAAGTTATATGTAGAAAATTACTCTACTTTGAAATTCCTCAAACAATATATCGGTGTTGATTTATTTTATTTTATTTTATTTTTGTGCATTTACATAAAACTTTTTATAAGAAATTAAGAATCTGTTAGATAAAGAAAATATATTGTTTTTCATTCATTTTGAAAAAAAAATAATCTAAGATTAATTTAAACAAATTTTTCTCAATATAACTTATATAACGAAATTCCTTAAATTCATAAAGTGATCCACCTAGTATTGTCAAAATGGAAGTTTTTTTTTTTTTTTAAGGAGAGGAGACTATTTTAAGGGTAAGTCAAAATAGGGCCCTACTAATTAGTACATTAGAGATGCTAACTAGAGGGTTAGTTATTAAAAAAAATATTAAACATTACAGTAAAAACATAATAAAAAATATTAATAATATTTAAAAAATTTATCTTTAATCCTGTTAACATTCTCTTAAAATAATGTCTACCTTTCACTGTAGTCATATAAGAAGGCATTGTCTCGTGATTTCACATGGCTATTAAATAAGTGTATCCATCTCTTTCTATGCAGGCATTAAAGAGGTGGGCCTTTATTTGACTATTTATTAAGAGAAAGATAAATACAAAAGTTATGTACAATATTTTAATTATTTTTAGTATTTTTCTCTTGTCAATATTATGACAACTCTGAATTACTTTTGGTATTATTCTCTTATCAATATTATACCCACTCTAATAACAGTTTCAGAACAGAAACATTTATTTCGAAATAACAAAAATCTCAATATGTGAGTGTTTTTACTTCGATCTATGTTGCTCTGAGTTATGTTGGCATTTGGACAGAAGAGACCAATATCACTCAAGCAAACATATTGTCTCTTAATACTTGGGTTGCACCATCGATTCCTACTTGACTCTATGATACCAAATCCCATATTGTAAGCAAAAACCAGAATAACAAATCCTAATTCCATTGTGCATATACCTAAAGCAAATCTATACAGTATATTTGACCCCATTTCAGTATTTCCTAGGCGTAAACCAACTGTTTGTACCAAAAAAGAGCAATAAAAACACAATTGACTTCAATTTCCAACATAAATATCTGAACTCTGTACACGGTAGACAAAATTTACTGAACAATTGCCCAATTAGAGCATTAAAACAATCGAAAAGGAAAAGACAAATAATTTGATTATGCCTGTGATTGCAATAGCGAACCAAAAATTGGAAAAAGGCAAAAAGCTTCCCAAAAGATGTATGTAACTTGCATATCTCAAAACTATCACAAACTTAATTTCGTTCTCCACATATCTCCAACAACCTTTTTTGGTTGTGGGTTATCTGGTCCTCTGTCCCTTTGTCCTGATGTAAAGTATAGCCATCCATTCCAATAACCAGCTAATGTGGTTTTCACACGGTAAGGAAGCTTTCCAATCACTGACCATTTCTGCAATCAGCAACCGAACTATTTCAAATTATCTAAAGGAATATTAGCCATGACAAACGACTAAGAATCAAATGTTTTGAAAATGACATTCAAATTCCATCACTTCAATGAATTCATTCTTATCTATAGGGTAACAAAAATTTTATTGTGAATGCAAAAAATCCAAGTTGACTACAACTAACTCTAATTTAGCAACATTCAGAATATTAATAGGTAACATACAACTATCAAAGATATTTTCTTTTTAAAACCACAACAGTAAAGCTTGAAGACAGACCCCATGTATGTACACATAATTCATATGCACAAATAGAGGACAAAACTATCCAACCAATTTACTAAAAACAATACAAAAAACAAGGAAAAATGGCCAACCAATTTTATCGATGTCCGACAAGTGCATCATTAAGAATTTTATCAATTCTGCTACCATGAACAAAGGGAATGCCATGATCAACGATATAAGAGCAAAATTCAATAATGTTGAATGCTTTACAATGGCCTCACCTAACTACTGGATAATGGTGTTATGAAGTTTATTGTAGCTTCTAAAAATCAAGATTCTACAGACAATGATAGGTGGATGACAAGTGATCAATTCATTCGTTGATAGGAACCAGGAAAAAGGGCCCAAGCCCAAGTAGATAAAATGTGTAAGTTGGTTATAATTGGAGGAGTGTGTAGCATGAGAGGGGATATATAAGGAGACTGGGGATACATACAGGAGAGGCAGAGTTGCAATAGTTTGTTGTAAAGCTGTTTAGCTAGACAGAGAATGCATAAAGCATTACTCTGAAGGAGCCATGAGCTCTGGGCTGGTTAGAGTTTATTTCTACTAGAATATTTGTTCTGTAATTCACATTTCAATCAATATAATTTCTTCTATTTCTTATAATACATGGAGAGTCCTATCGTTTGACCACCAACTCATACAATTACAACAGCCAACAAGCAAAGTGAGAGGCTGAGAGGAAATAGTGGATGGAAAAAATGCAAAATCTAGTTCGCATGAGCCAAAGACTGAAAAGAGTACCATAGTGTCTAAATGAAATTGGAAAACCTCCCCAACCAGCATCATCCTTTTTGTCTCTGGGTGTTTTTCTGTTGTACCTCCAGTGATGATAATTGAATTGTTGACAAGTACCCATGCACACTCTATATGCGAATTTGGTTTTGGCATAGGTGGCAAAGTTTTCCATTTCATTTCTTCATCCAGCATATAAACATCTTCGTAGACCACCTAAAACATAAGAAGAAGGCCACAAGACACCACAAGGCTTTCAGTAGAAAAGACAATATTAATATTGAGAACCAATATACGACATTGTCTCAAATTAGGACAAAGAAAGAGGTGCGATTGTGCAGAAAACCATTTACAGTATACAAGTAAATTATATTTCTCATGCCATATCTTTAAAAACCATCTATCAAATTATAATGTGTCATAGTAAATCAGGCATGCTGTTGACAACCAGAGAACATGATACCTCATGCCTGCGTGAACACTTGAATATAGGCGAACCTGGTTTCGCCATAAAATCACCCTCCTGTCCACCAATCACATATAGTCGATCATTGATGGCAATGCAAGCCCTGCACCAAATAACTAGAGCTAGATAAAAGCCAATCACAATCAGCTTCCTTTTAAAAACAATGAATATGGCACCACTTTTCAAGTATTCCTTCAAAAGCTTCCCAGGTTTGATTTTCTTAAAACATGGATTTCTATTAAATAATTGAAATCATCGTGAATTAAATGAGAACATACATATTGAACAGATATAGAAATCTACTATTAGAAACTGTGCAGTCTCCTAACCTATGTGGTCCACCACGTGGAATGGGAATTTCGTCCCGCCATTGTGCCTCCAAAGCGTCACCATCCTTCACAGCCAGACTCCAATGATCTTTTCCAGGTGTATGACGATTCTCCTTGCTACCACCCATGACATGGAGTCTTCCCTTCCATAATTGAGTTGCAGGAGCATACCTGGAATGAAGTTCTCACATTCAAACGGTTCATAAGACAACTAAATAGTCCAACCGAACCACAACAACAACAACAAAACCTTATCCCAGTAGATAAGGCCAAACATACAGATCACACGATGTCATTGAGCTCAATCAAAAATCAATTTTTTTAAGAGAGTTTATTTATCAAAAGATTCCTTTTGATAATTTCTCCAAGGTTCATTTTAGTCTCCATTTATTCTTTTTCATTGAAAGACCATACACTTAAACCCTCCTCACTGGTGCCTGAAGTGGCTTCTTTGCACCTGCTAAACCACCTTAACCTATCTTCTATCATCTTCATGTTATCCCAACCTCTCTTTGTACACGATCATTTCTTATCAAATCTTTTTCTCGTGTTGATGAAAAACAAAATTATTCCATCAAAATGAACTGAACTAAACGCCCACTAAATTATGCGCAAAACCCACCTGGGGGATGGCAATGACGGCAAACTTTTCCATTTCTTTGTTGCGGTGTCTAGTGAAAATACAGTAGCAGTAGGCCCTCTGCATTGAGGTCCATATTGTCCAGTGACAATGTATATATACCTCCCATCAGTAGCCACACCCAAATGTGAATGAGCCATGTCCTTTGGCATTTGAATCTGATCTACCCATGTGTTGCTATTAAAATCAAAGACATCGATATGGGAATGCACCTGAGAGAAGAAACAAACACATCAAAAGAGATTCCTCAAGGAAAATCACCTTCAAATTATTATGAGCAAGATACGTTAAACGAGTTTCGGTTAGCAACAAATAGAAAGTCAATTTTTCAATTAAAAATAAATTAATAATTTAATTTAATGCAGAACCTGACGACACAACATGCAATATAATTAAAAAAAAAACACGTAGTTACATTAAAAAATAAATAAGCCTTGATTAAATATAAAAGTGTGTAGTCGAGGACTAAAATGTTATCGTCAAGTATAACAGTTGTATGTTAACTTAGTGATGCTCTTAATTTCAGAACGAATGCAATGTATTAGTATTAGTTTAATAAATCCAGTTAGAAAGAAACGAAACGCTTACATGATCAAGATTGCCATATCCAGCAAACACATAAAACATGTTTTTAATCTGTATGGAATAGCCATCTAAACGAGGCACTGGAGCCGATGGCAACTGCTCCCAATGCCATTCAGGAGCTGGTAAGTCCGCAAACGTGGCCGAAAGGAACCTTTCGGGACCCCTCTTTTTCGCACCGTTACGATCCCCTCCCTGTAATAAAAACAAAAAACGAATGAACCAATTCGTAGAGAAAGAAACGCAGCGTTTGGACATGAGAAAAGTGCTGACATTGTTGTTGTTGTGAGGAGTGGTGGTTGTGACATTGGGAATGAGAACGATGGGTGGGGCGTTGTCGATGGCCCAGTTGGTGGCGATGGAAATATAGTGAGAAGAGAGGGAAGCGCGGAAGAGGTTAGCGATGAGAGCGAGGCCCAGAAATGCTGAGAGGCAGAAGAAGATGATGAATTTGGTTGCGGAGAAGTGCTTGTGGTGGAATCTCGTCGCCATTGAGCTTTGTTTGCGTCAAATGAGAGACCCATTTATTTATTCTGAGCGCTGTGGAGAGGCAGAGAGAGGAGAAGGAAAGGAAATTGTATGGCAGAGGAAACAATGGTTGGCCGCCAATGGTTTCTTTTTTCACTTTCTTTTTTTTTATTCTGTGTTCCTTAATACCACGCGCAGCGTTTTTGGCGGTTTTCTTTTCCTTTGTTTTTACTTCTCCTTTCTGTGCTTCTCGCTGTCGCTGTGTCTTCACTGCTGGAAAGCAAATAAATCACCGACGTTCGTATCTTCTTTATTTTCCAAATTTATGAATTTAAGTTCGGTACTCGAGAGTTATATAATTTAGTAACTATCACCTGCATTCACAGGAATTATAGATTTTTACGGTGGAATAATTTCTTTTCAAAATTATAAATCAATTATCGATTATATATTCTACAAAATAAATATAAATATTCAAAACATACACGTGCCACAATTTTTATTAACTATTTTTATTTTTTTTTCAATATCAATTATCCTTCACTAAAGAAAGTTTTATTTAAGTCAAATAAGATTATAATATCCACAAAATTCTTTCTCTTTGAATATTTAATTAACATGTTTAATGATTTTTAAATTTTTTATTTTAAAACTCTATTTTGATTACTTTTTCAATTTATAATATATTTTCATATAATTTTTTCTTTTATTAGTTTTCCCATTACTTTTTTTATTTTATATGTTTAGCCATTAATTTAAATTCAAATTTTAAATTTGGATTCACTTTGAACTTTACTTATGCGTGGGAATTCATTTTTATATTCTAAAATTCCCTTTTAGTTATTTTTAAAATTTCAAATAGAAGTATTTTTTAAATAGAAGTATTTTTTAATTTTTAATTTATATTTTAAAATTTACATTTTAAATATTTAAATTTATATTTTTAATCTTACTTAACATAATATGATATTTATTATGAATAATAAAATTGTTTATGTATTTAAAATTTATAAAATTTATTCAAGTTAAAATATTAATAAAATAATTTTATTATTTTATTTTATTTAATAATAATAATAATAAGTATTCAATGAAACATACTAATTATGTAAAGGAAGGAAGAGAGATATAAAAAAAAATGTGTTATAGATTATATAATTTATTAGAAAATTGAATAGGCAAGAATTCAAATAATTAGAGATTTAGGTCTTATTTTGTTAAGAAAATACGTAAACCTAAGAGAGAGAGAAATAAATTTAACCTTATGAAATTAAATTTTATAGTGTGAATAGGATTGTTATAGTGAGTCCACCTATTTTGTTTTGTTAAAAGTTTTTGATAAAATAAGTTAGTTTGTTAAATTTTTTTAAGTGGGTTAGATTTTTTAGCCTAACTTATTTAAGAGTTCTTTAACTTGCCAAAAATAAAATTAAATAAAAATATGGTGACAAGTCTATTAGTTACAAGTCAACTCACCTAAAATTAACATTAAAATGTAGAATTATAAAAACCTTTAAATAATATTTAAACATTTAATTAATATTTTTTTTTAAATAGACTCCACAAACCAACATACCTTTACCTTGCCATTGACAAACCAAGATAGCCTAACCGCTCATTTTCAATGAGTTAGGTAGGCTAGCTTATCGAGCCAGTCCTAGTACTTAAATTTTATTATACTTAATTTGCTATAATGAATGAGTAACTTTTGTTTGTGTTCACTTTAATTACTTTGACTTATAATACTTTAATGAATGGATAATTTTGAGAGGCAAATATGGAGTTTGGTCCGAGACTAAAATTTATCTTTACTTAGTTAATAGTATCTTTAAATCTTATATCTTAATAAAAATTTTGTTCTTTCATTTTGTTTTGTTCTCTTGATGCATACTTGATTCTAACATGTGATATCATGTTTAAGTTGTATACTTGGAAACTAATGTGAAATGGTACTAAAATTTTATTAAGTATAAATTATAAGATTTAAGAATTACCTATTAATAAGTGAAAAAAAAAATCTTAAATGAGATTGTGGCATACTTAATGTATAAAAATTATATGTCATTTTTAGGACTAATTGCTTTTTTTTTTTTAACACAAAATAACTAGTCAAAATTGGTTATTAAGGGGACCAAATTTGACCAAAAGAAGTGTCAAATGAAACTAGTGACATCTCGAAAATATTTTATCATAATTAGAGTAGTTAAACCAACTTTCATACAAGCTTCGAGCGATTCATTCATTTAATAGTATAATATAGCTATATTTTATTTTGTAATATTTTGTTCATTAATTACTCTAGATTCTTTCATTTTCATGTAAAGATCATTTCCCTCACGAGTACGCTCACCTACTCTGCCAAATATAGATATATCTCCGTGAGCTTTGGCAATGTTATTGATCAATTTCATAATGAGTTTACCTACTCTAGTTCCATCAAAAAGTCCTATTTTTTCTCCATGGCAATAAGGAACTAAAAGATATACTTTTTTTCTATTTCAAAAACAGACAATTTTGTATCTAATTGTATAAAGGCATGCACAAATATATGGATAGGAGATTTTGTTTGAGTATATTTAGGACCTAAATTATCAATAGACTCCCCAAGTACATTGAAAATTTGTCCTAGAGTTGCTTTGCCAACACGAACACTTAAGAGCGTCCATGTTAATCACTTTTATTCCTTTTATTAGACCATCTATAACATTTATAACTACAACTCTAACTCTAATTATTTCCTAATAATATTTATACTTCACAAGTCACGTTAATTTGTTGACCAACAACATATTGACTCTTAACTATCAGAGCTTTGTAAATATTAAGTGTTTTACAACTAAGTTTCATGTCGTCTTATTTAAAACACTTTATGCAAGATGTTTTCGTGTTGTAAGAGATAAAAAGAAGTAAATTTAAGAATTTTCTTTCCCAACATTGTCAAATGGTATGCCTTACCACTAACACATGGATTTTTAATCAAAATTTTAATCATATGTGCTTGTTAGAATATTTATTATTTTTCTTGTATGATTCATATTTTAAATGCAATGCATTGTTCATGTACTCTATTAGTTTGATATGAGGCAATTAAGATATGATACATAGTTAGAGTTCATTAGTTAGTTACTGTCTTAGCCTAATATATATACTTAATGTAAGTTCTTTTTCAGTTAGGAATTGAATACACATATTCATACACTCCTATCTTTATCAATTTGAACATATTGGAAATGTAGTTAACACTTTACCTTATAAATTTTGGGATTATGCTTTTCTTACACTAATATTTCTTATTAATCATTCACCTACAACATCTCTAGAGGTTGAAATCTCTTACATAAAACTTTTTCATGCTACTCTTCCCTTTCAACTCTTAAAGGTTTTTGGGTGTGCATGTTTCCCATATATTTAACCTTACAATACCATTAAGTTGCAATTAGATCACAAGAGTGTGCTAATTACAAAAGTTACAAATGTCTAACCTTTGAAGAAAAAATGTAATATCTAAGGATGTCAGTTTTAATGAGTCATCTTTTCTTGTTTTCAAACTATTTTCTTTTAGGTTTCAAAACTTGTCCTTTTCCTCAACCTCTCATAACCTTCCTCAAAGTTGAATCTACAGACCCATAAATTACTCCTCGTCCATATTCTCTTTCTTGTCCTTTGATTTCTTCACTTACTTTCACTTTTACTACCCAATCTTCTCCTTCTTCTTTTTCACCTTCCTCACCTCCTAATTTGTTCCTTAAATATTTAACCTATGATCACTGTCAGGCTTGTAGTATATTATTGAGAAAAATATGTAGTACTTTGTGAATAATAAAATCGCGTATGTATAGTAACCCCTGATGTCATCAGTGACATCACGCTGATGTGATCAGTGACATCACATTGACGCTGACGTCTTTCAAAAATTTTCTATAAAAGGGGGCTTCATATGGAATTTTTATATCTTTTCTCTTATCCAAGGTTCTCAAAGGTTCCAAGGCCATATACTACCATTTTCTCTCATATTAAACCCTCTTAAACTTAGATTTCTCTCCAAATCTATGATTCTGCGTCCGTTATAAGGGATTTGAAGAGAAACTTCGTTCTAAAGCCAAATTTTCGGTGAATCTTACGATAAAATAAGTAATATTCGATAGATCTAGAGTGAATTACCGTTTTGAGGTAAGGGGAGCTTACTTTAGTTTATGAACTATATTTTGAACGTTTTGATATGCTATTTAAGAAAGGTTTGAGTCAATTTTGTTATATCTCTTTGGTAAAAACTGAGATATAAAGGATTTAATACTTGAAAGTTATTTTCTATGTTGTAGCTGTTGATAACTAATTTAATAACACTGAGATTTGACTTATTATTATAAACTTGTCTTAGTCAAGTTGTTGAAATGATTTTAGTTGTACTGCATCATGCTGAAATATATGTCTTGCATCATTATAGAGTTGAGTTACACGTTTAGGTAGGTAGACGCGTAACGGTAGAGCATGTTGAGCTGTGCTGTGCTATCTGGATCCAGATACCGGAATGAGTCGCTTCCAGACCGGTTCGGTTCCTTCTGGATTATTTAGGCTGTGAAACTAGTTGGAAACTATTTTTCATGCTGTGTATTAGATGAACTGTAATACATGAGACTGTTGCTGTGAGTAATATTTTGCTTTATATATACAATTTTATTTTATTTTTTTGTAAGCCTTTGCATTTATGTCTATGTTGTTATGTGCGTGTGTATTGTAATGATCGTATGATGGTATGTGAGCAGATGTAGCCGGTGTTGCATCTACTTCACAGGCTGAGAGGCCAGTGGAGAAATGTTAAAAGCTGGAGTCGAGTAATTTTGCATCAAAGTCCTTTTTCCTTATATTTTGAGACCTCATGTAGAGGGAGTTACTTAGTATAATTTTGTGTATTTTGAATATTATGAACTAAATGTAATATTATGTTGTTCTATTGGATATTTGTTGTAAGAAAATTTATTTTATTTTAAATGAGAAGTGAATTTTATACTTATATTTTCTATTATTTATCTATCTTAAATAATTATATGGTGTACAAGCAATGTTCTCGGTTCCTTATAAAAAGGGTCGTGACAATTACCTATTCTAAAAATGATATAATTCAACCTAGTTTTCTTCCTATGTTTCTTCTCACTCATGTGGAATCATTTATTCTTAAGTAATCCTTAATCGACTCAAATTGACGCTCTTTGATGCAAGCTAAATATGATGCCTTACAACAAAACTCCACCTAGACTCTTATTCCTTTACCACCAAACCATGAACCCATTAGTTGCAAATGAGTATGGGTATTTCATGTAAAATTGAATGCACGTGGCTCTCTACACAAATATAAAGCATATTTAATGGTAAAAAGTTTCAACCAATGACCTGAGTTTGATTATACAAAGACTTTTTCTTCAATTATTAAACCTACTATCATTCATATAATTCTCACCTTGGTTTTATCCTGTGGTTGGAAGACCAATTACTTTGATGTCAATAATGCATTCATTTATATATCACAGGATGTTTGTATGTCTCAACCTCCTAGATTTGATCATGACTAAGCTTAATAAAACTCTCTATAGTCTTAAACAAGCTTCATGGGCTTGGTTTAAATATCTATATTTAATTTTATTGCAAATTAATTTTAAATTCTATAAATGTAACACTTTTTTACTCATTTTAAACTCCTATTGTTGTATATATTTTTAGTTTATGTCAATGACTCTTGATTACAAGTAGTTCTTTTACTCTTACACATGTGAAACCGATAGTATAGAAGTCATGAGTTTAAAATCATCAAACTATTTTAAAAGCTTAAAAAAATAATTTTTAGAAACACACAAAACAAAAATACTCCGTGGTTTAAAAGCAAATATTGTACTCCATGCATCAATATAATTAAAGCAATTACACTAGAGAATATTGAAAAAATAATTAAAAAGAGGTTGCATCTATTTTGGTATTGAACAATTTTTAAAACTTTTAAATAAAAATATTTGAAAATAAAAAACTAAACTTATAAATAGATGTTAATTTTGGTTTTAACACTTTAGTTTAAAAATTTTATTTAACAAAAAAAAAATTAAACTCTTGTTGAGACTTAAATTTAAAATTATAAATTAATATATAACAATAAAATTATTTTATACTTTCAATACATGAAAGGAATAAAGAAAGGAAAAATTATGTACCGACATAATCTACAATAAATATTAAAAGGAACAATTTTAAAATTAATAACAAGAGTTTAAAAATTATATTATAAAATTTCATGTTCAATATAGTATAAAATATTTATTATAAGATAATCAATAATTATAATTTTTAATAGTTGTATTATAATTAATAAAATTTTATATCGTACCTTAATAATTTATATTTATTTATAAATACTTATTTCCTCATTATAACTATAATTTATCTTATATTTTATTATAATTATATAATAATATCTTTCATATTAAATTTAAAAAATATATAATTTAACAAATTATATATTTTAAAGTTAATTTTATTCTACAGCATACGAGAGTGATATGTTAATTCAAGTATAATCTAAAATATATATATTTTTTACATATTTAACCCTAGTTTAAGTGAGAATTCTTTTTAGTATACTTTACTTTTATATATTTTATAATTATTTTACTGTTATATATCTTATTATTTTAATATATATTTGGGGATGCTCTTATAACCTTAATTTATTCATGTTTAATGATTATAATAAAATTATTTATTTTTATTTTTGTCTATATAAATATATTCAATGCATTTTGTATCTAAAATATTATATAATATTAACTTAATACTATAAAAAATTAATTTTTATATATTATTAGTGTTACAGTGTTAATTAATTAAAATATATTGTTAATGTGATTTTTATATCAGTATATTCAAATTAAATTTATTTTATAATTAAATAATAATATCATAAAAATAGAAAATATTTTACGTGTACAAAATATAAGAGCTATTTGCTTTTAATTTGTTATATTTATTTTTTAATTATGAAAAATCATTTTAAAAAATAAAATAATATTTTCTCAAAACAAAAGGTGCATAATTTTTCAGTAGAAGCAAATAGTGTAAAGATCCAAAAGCACACTTCACCGAGGGTCTAGAAGATTAGAACGTTATCATCCATCATCCAACTAAGGGGGTTGCAAATGGTTGACTTGACTTCGTAGCTTTGTGGTGTCAAAGAGTGCAAGTGACCCACGTAACGCCCACCAAATCAATATTCACAGTGTGATATCATATAAGATCCAGATCCCAATCAGATCCAACACTCCTTCCTAGCTGTCACTCTCTTAATAATTTACCATTATTCCTTCTTAATAATTCATAACTTGTTAATGTTATTTTTTTATTTTATGTCAATTTTTCATGAAATTATATTAATAAAAATGTTCATATCAGTAATTTACAAAAATATAAGAGTTCAAATAAAAATTTAAAAATATAATACAAGAGTGATATCGTAGATCTACATTCTAAATCTTGGTTTTCTTTTATTAAATATTTTCTCATCTAGTAAATGAGAAAATAAACTTTAAATCTTAGGAGGTATATTATGGTATTTAGCGTGGAAATTATTTTTGACTAAAATTTTTTTTATTGATAAAAGTAAAAAATAGTATGTTTTTAAACACTTATAATTTTATTGTTACCATTAATTATTTTAAAAAAATTAATTCTACTCCTATAAACGTTAAACAAACGGAGCCCAAATCATACTGACATAAAAGGTATAACTAAATATAACATAACCTATCGTTCTATCCATATATATTAATAAAATAAAATATAACAAATATTATTTTTTCTTAATTTTTTAATATTATATATATTTATTTTTAATTTGTATATATAAATGACATGCTTGTATTTGTTACACGTTCAATAATAGATAGATAAAATTTTGAGTGGAATAATTTTAATAATTGAAAAGAATATGACAACTAAATAGAAATAACGCAAATAAAGAGAATTAAAATCATAATAAATTAAAATATAAGAACCAAGTGCGAATAAAATTTAAAAAAATTATGATATTATTTATTTTTCAAAAAATAAAATGTATACTTAAAGATTAATGTAGAAAACTTTTATAATTTTCAAGAACTAATATACAATTTTTATATTGTTAAGAAGTAATGTCTCGCACTAATCATTTGTCTAGTCTGCAAATTACTTCACGTTTCACTTAATTTAAAATACTACTGTGTTTTAAAATATATAATCTCTATCAGGAGTCCCTAACACCTGGTCGCACCGCTTCCGTTGACTACAAATCGGACGGCTGATATTTTTTTATCAACTGATGCGAAATTGCAAAGGAGGGACGCGACATTATTATAAATGTAACGGAGGCGAGGGGTGAGAGACCCACTCTCTCTCGCTCTCTTCTCTTACTTCGCTTCACTCTGGTCTCTCTCAATCACGAACCTTCCCCTTTCTTTCTCTCTCTTCTCTCTTTGCAACGGCGTCGTTCTCTTCTTCTGTGCTAACCTCGCTTCGCTTCGCTCTTTCGGTAAAACGCGTTTAAGCTCTTGCCGTTTTCTGCAAATTCAGCTAGGGTTTCACTTGAGCCGCGATCTCTTACCCTATCTTCGGCTTCTTCTACCGAATCGCTGCGTCTAAATTCTCCGTTTCAAAATCACTTGTTGGGAATTTAAGGAAGGACTTCGAGTTTGCTGCTTTCAGTTAGTAGCTGGTAATTGATTTGGGTGTTAGGTTCCATTTGAAATCAACTTGTGTGGTGGAAGCTGTGTAACTATCTACACCGGTTATTATTACTGTTTTTGTTATAATTATCATTTTAATTATAGGATTTGAGAAAAAGAGGCTTTGAATTTCTCGTGTTTCCTGAAGTTTGTTTCATTAATTTTTGGTATAGTAGGATCCCAAGTAGCAAAAAGTGAATTGAATTTTGGTTTTTCAACAGTAATCCTGAACTGCACCAAACCAATAGGTTTGGTTGAAGAAACTGTGGCTTTTGGTTAATTGAACAATTGAACATTACCATGGCAAAGAGTAGGCTATCTGGAGGTTATTTTGGGAACGCGTTAGATACTGCTGGTGAATCTGAGGGGTCTGGTAGCTCAGGACGGATAGATACTGAAATTACTGTTTCTGAGGATTCTAGTATTCCGACAAGGAAATGTATGAGTTTGAATTCGAGTCGCCGTGATGTATTTGGTGTTTCCCTGCAAGTTGTGCCCTTGTCGAATTTGTCACCCTTTCAGAGAAAAGATCTGGTACAGAGGTTAAGGTCTGAGCTCGAGCAGATTCGAATACTTCAGAAGAAAATTGAATTACAGAGAACGAATGGTGTTACGTTGTCATCCTCCAGTGATATTCTTAGCTGTAGTAATGGTAATAATGGGCAGAGAGTGGAAAGCTCGAAAAAACCCTCAGTGTCCAGTTCTGTACCCGGGAATAAACTGAAGTCATCAGGGAAGAGTCAGAAGCCCCGTGGGTGGAACCGGGGATCTTCTGGAAAATTTGAGTCTGCGGTGCGGTCTTGTTCACCAACCACTGCAAATACATTGTTGATGAAAGATTGTGACTCACTGTTAAAACGGTTGATGAACCACCAGTATGCTTGGGTTTTCAACACCCCTGTCGATGTGGTGAAGTTGAATCTTCCAGATTATTTCAATATTATTAAGCATCCGATGGATTTGGGAACAGTAAAAAGCAAGTTAGCTGCAGGCGCGTATGCTGCCCCATTGGAATTTGCTGATGATGTGAAGCTTACATTTTTTAATGCAATGACCTATAATCCACCTGGGAATGATGTCCATCTCATGGCTGATACCCTCTGTAAATATTTTGAATTAAGATGGAAAACAATTGAAAAGAAACTGCCAAGAAGTGATGCTGTGTCATTGCCTGCAAAGACAGATACTTGTGAAGATGTAAAAACTACTAGACCAATGCCTCCCTCGAAAAAGAGAAAAATTGCCTCATTGCCCCCTCAACCAGAAGTTATGCCACCTGCTAAGCAGGTTATGTCAGATCAAGAGAAGCACGATCTTGGTCGGGAATTGGAGTCTTTGTTGGGAGAAATGCCTATGCATATCATTGATTTCTTAAAAGAACATAGCTCAAATGGCAGAGAATGTGGAGAGGATGAGATTGAGATTGATATTGATGATCTCAGTGATGACACACTATTCACATTACGCAAACTTTTGGATGATTTTTTGCAAGAGAAGCCAAAGAACATGGCAAAAGTTGAAGCATGTGAAATAGAGGTACCTCCCTGCCACTTAACCCTTTTATAAACTAAACTAGGATCACGTTGCGTCTGAAATATGCTTCTTCTTCACAATGAGATGTCAGTCTTAGAAGCATATGATTTGATTTCAGACTATCTATGTTATCTGTTGCAGGTGTTGAATGATTCTGGACCAAGCAATTCCTCATTGCAACCATTTAAAGGTACTTTGTGCACATGTAAATGCATACTGTATTTGCTTTTCTTGTTAAAATTTTTCGACTTGTAGGTAATGACTCAGTTGATGAAGAGGTGGACATTGGTGGAAATGAGCCCCCTGTGTCGAGCTATCCTCATGTGGAGATTGAAAAGGATACAACTTCCAGAATGAACAAATGTCTAAGCCCAAGTAGCTCCAATGGTAAGTAAGATTTGAATTTCTCTATTATGCTTTTGAATACCTTGAGTAATCTTTGACTGGTTTTGTCCTTGAAGATTCTATATAGGATTATTTGAGACATGAGCAGGGGAATGTCTTATTATTTGTTAAATTCAGTTTTTCCCCTAAATCTAGTTTTGAATACATCCTAATTGTTTTGAACCACAGTAATTTTTTCTCTTGTCATTTGTCACTGGTGTTTTTGTATGATGAATATTTCAGAGAAGCAACATGTTCACATTATGCATATCATACCTTTTTTTTCATATTAATCCAAGATTGTATGATCCTTCATGTATATCTTAAATTCTAAACAAAAGAAATATCATACATTTGATTGTATATATTTATTTTATAAAATTAGGCATGCAAGATCACCTTGATAATTACTTCATAATTCAACATTCAGATTGATCTAAATCATCTTTTAGAAAGAGAGATTAGAATGTGTCATTGTGACAAGAAGAAACATCCATAATTTTCTAAATAGGAAAGAGATGGCGAGTTTTTACCAAGATGGTTATCTCAAGTTATTGCATTTCTCTTATATGGGTTTAATTGAACTTTAGTCATTTTTAAATCTTATTTGGGGAATGAAAGTTGTGCTACCATCTATTTTAGTGCCAATATTTAAATCTTGCACTTGATAATAGTACATGAAATATTAAGATGGATGGGTGGTCATTGTGAGAAAGAACATGATAAGAAATGATTATATACGTGAGAATAGTGAAGTAGCACTTATTATGAAAAAAATGACAAAATCGTTTAAAGTTGTTTGGTTACATGCAGAGAAGGCCATTAGAGGCATATGACATGAATTTTAGTTCTGTAAAATAGGGTAGAAAGAGATCTAGAAGAACTTTACAGAAAATAATTAAAAAAGATCTAGTGATAAGTAATATTTATGTGATTTTAGTTTTTTATCAAACTCTAGTATTGTGTGATTTATGTAGTTGACCTCACCTAGTGAGGTAAGACTTGGTTGTTATTATTGATAATGGTACTTGAAATATGAAAAGGATAAAAGTAAGTCTTATTTCTTAAATTGTAGTGTAGGATGACTGCACATGGGCATTCACACATATATGGAGTCTAATCCTAATATTTATAGCTATAATCTTACCATGGCAACTAAATTATAAGGAAATTTGTTCAAATTAAATAATATCATGTGAAATAAGGAAATAGAATCACATGTTCCAGCTCTCCCCCTTAAACTAGCAAATGAACATCTATCATTCTAAACTTGCAAATTATATCATAGATATGCCTTATTACTAGTTCATTGGTTAATATACAAGTCAGTTTGATAGCAATAAGGGACACATGTTGCTGCTATAAGGCCCTTATCTAAAGACTCTTCAATAAAGTGTTGGTCAATCCATAGTAGTCACAAGAGGCCGCTATTATCACGGAGCAGAGCACCAGGGTGCCACTAACCTTGGTCAAATCCCTACTTTCTTTCTGAATGTTGGGTGGCTTTTAAAGGGGGCAATCTTGGGATTTTGCCTCCTTTTTACATTTCTGATATCTTCTTTTCCCTCGTTGAGCCCTAACATTTCCTCCCTTTCTGTTTCTCTTGCTTTTCTAGTGTGACATGCTTTCAGTTCCTCTTGCTTCTTTGATGCGACATCGAGAGTCACCATTTCCAACCAACTTCTTGTCATCTTCATTTCTGGTCTTCATCTTTGGCGTCATATTTTGATGCGACCCAAACATTTTTTGTCATCTTCATCTGCGGCAAAGCTTCTTACATGACCAAACATTTTCAAGTTGTCTTCTTCATCCTTGATGAAGTTTTTGACATGACCAGACGTTTTTTTATCATCTTTTTCATCTACAGCGAAGTTTTCAATGTGACCCAAACATTTTTGGGTAACTGAACACTCTGTTTTCTATCTTCCTTCACTGTTTATTATTTATTTCCTTCTCTATTTTGAGTTTTCCTTCTTTGTTTTGTTCTAAATTTAAAGGCCTAATACAGAAGCAATGACTGCTCCCCCAATCAAGTCACAGGGAACAACCTCTCTTTGGTTCCTTTATTTTGTGGTTATTGACATTTGACATGTGTTATGTTCTCAAACTTTCACTTTTGATCATTAATTGTGCATGCCTTTAATTTGTGTATTAATTTTATATATTTCAGTGTATATATATATAAATGTGTGTGTAGCTTAATTTAATTAAGTATATTTAAAATTTCAGAATAGCGGTCATCCTACTATAGCCTGCTATAGCATTTTTGGGATCAGCTGCTCCATGCCACTATCTGGGATTGACTACTATGGGTCAATCTCTATGTGCTTTTATCCTATCATGTTGAATCAGATTATGAGTAATGCTAATGGAAATTTTATTATCACAAAGAATCTTCATATGACTTTGTACTTTATTTTAAGATTATTATAAAAGATCTTCGTCCATTCTAGCTCATAGTCCGAAATTTTTTCTTGGCACTTGACCTTGTAATACTTCCATAGAAAGCTTCTGCCCCTTTTAAAAGAGCAATCCTCTTACTGGTCTCTCTCTCGTGGATCATGCATAAATTGCTAAAGAATTGCATAAGCGATATTAGGCTTGGTGTGGGATTGATAAATCAAATTCCCCACAAGTCTATGTTATTACGCCTTATTTATTGTTGGTTTCTCCTCATCTCTCCTTGAGGAAGTACTGAATTTTCCAAGATCTTACATTTCAAACCAAGTTGCTGGTTTGTTTCTCAGTATCTACATCACCTGCAATGATCATGGCATTCAAATAAACTAATAAAAGGGTTAGTATGTCATTTTGAGTGTTTCGCAAAAAGTGTATTATCTCCTTGGCTCTATCTATACCCCTAGGAGGGTACCTGAGTGAATCTCCCAAAACAAGCATAGGGAAACTATTTTAGCCCATAAAGGGCCTTCTTCAATCTACACACCTTATTTCTACCTTCAATGGGGGCCTTATATTGTATCATTATACAATATTTCCCTTTAAGTCCCTTTGTAGAAAGACTTTTTGTACATCAAATTGATGTAATTCCCATCCAAGTATTTGTTTTTGCTATTGGAGAAAATGTTTCGTCTTAATCAATCCTATATGTTTTGGTACTTGTTTGCCACTATCATCACCTTGCATCTTAGGTCTTCTTGTTCTTGGGTCTTTTCATAATTTCTTAAGTCACATTCTTTTCCAATACACTTATCTTTTCATTCATAGCTTGAACCCAATTCTTATCCTTTAAGTGTGTATTTGGTTTAGCTTATAAAAGATTGTTTGGATATGTTATGTGAAAAGTAGTTTTAAAATAATATATTATTTTTTTGTATTTTATAAAGAATTGCTTTTATTAAGGTTAAATTATAAAGAATTGGTTTTGCTTATAAATGATTAGTTTTGTATTTAAAATAATTAATTATTAAGTATAAAATGAAAAATAAGAGTTAACTAAAACATAAGGTGGTAGTTTTATAAGTTTCAAAATTTTTTGTTTATTTTTAAGTAAGTTGTTTTCTTAGTAAAAAGAATAATTGAATATTATAAGTTAATTTTCTAATCAATGCCTAAAACAGAATTGTTTTCTCACTTTTTTTTCAATTATCAAGAAAAATATTTATTTTCCAAACACATACTAAGCATATGTTAGGGTTGGTAGGCTTCATACGCAAGCTTTAACCTCGAAAGCTCCTTAGAGCATGATAGTCAAAATTGCATGTTGATTCGTAAAATCACATGATTTTATGATCTTCATCATGGTCTCTGTGCTAGCTCGGTTGCAGGATCAAAAAAAGTGAGATCAGGTGGGATTGCCGTGCAGAATTGTAAAATTGGTAAGCACGTTTGATCCTGTGTGTTTAAAAACTTGAAATTTTACCCAGTGACTCATGACCCGTTTTGCAAAAAATCTATTGAAACCCTAAAATCGATTCATAATTTGCTTTCCTTTTGGTTTCCTCTGCTCTGTGATTTTGTTTGACTTCACACAACAACCCTGTTTTGTTCTGGTGACTCTGCTCTGCTGTGCTCCAGTGACCTCGTTCTGCTCTAGTGACTCTCTGCTCTGGCATTTTTGTTCAATGCGTGACCTCTGCTCTGCTGCACGATCTCTGTTCTGCTGCCACGCCTCTATTTTGTTGTGCAATCTCTTCTCAGTTTTGGGTTTTCTGTTTTCTGTTTTCTGTTTTCTGTTCTGTTGTTTTTCTCTTTTCTGTTTTTATTCTTCATCTTCTGCTGCTCTGTGGGTGGGTGTTGTCCCTGCATTGTGCAATGGTGCCAGTAAAAATGTCAACTTTCGCTTTCTATCCCCAGATCGAAGCAGTTTTAGGGTTTTTTAAGGGTAGAAATGACTTTCTCCCTTTTAAAAATAAACTGAATTTCCCTTTTTGCCCTTAAAATGACCCTATTTTATGTTTTTAAGGGTAAAATAGTCTTCTTATCAGAATAAATCACTTAACCCATTTTCCTTCTCCCCTTCTCTATTTGACCCTCCCTTCTCTCATATCTCTGTCTCTGGTTTTAGTGGGCATGACTCTGTCCCTGCTTTGAGGGTGGCCCCCTTCCTTCATCTGTCTTTGTTTTGCTTCCCTCATCTTCTTATTTATTCTATGTTATATGCATACATATTATTTTGTAGGATTTTATGATCCGTGTTACAATCCTATGAGTTATGATCTTTGATCTCTTCTGTGATCCTACGTAAAATCTCAATTTTGACTACCATGGTCATAATTATAGCAAAAGGTGAAAACTAAATTACAAGGAAATAATAAATTTGTACAAAAAAAAAATTGTAATGTGAAATAAGGAAACAGAATTATGTCTTCCAACAGCTAGGTGTATGCTTTAGCTATTAGATCCATCTTATTTCATTATATATGTAAGGGTTATGCTATTTTTCATAAAAATTGTTGATGAAGTTTATGATCAGGTTCATGATATTGAGTAGAGCATATTTTTTGCTACTAACCATTCGTAGCATTTTTCTTTTCTATAAGGATATGGCTCTTACTCTTATCAATAGTTCTCTCTGGATTGAATATGTTGTTGCATTGTTGTTCAAGGTCCAAAGTATTTTCTAGGAGTAATGTGGCTTTATTTTCAATTTTGATGTTTAATTGGAAAGCTTTTTATGTTAATTAGTAACCATGTCTGATGTGTGCATTGCAGATTCGGACTCTAATAGTTCTTCTGATAGTGAATCTGAAGATATAAAGGCAAGTCCAGCAAATGGAGCAAAGGTCTGGTTTGATTATTGAGTGAAATATTTTATTAAGTAATCTTTTAATTTTGATTGCTGGTGCTGTTGTGGCTGCCTTTAGTTTTTGGCTACATGGTATAATTATTCATTTAGGTTCTTCCTCAGGTACCTGAAAATCTGGGTTCTGAAGTTCCATTGGATGAGAAGGCCGGGGCTACTGATACTCTTGAAAGAAATCGTGAGTAATTGTTTTTTGTTTGTCAATTTGTGCTGCTTAAAGTTGATATAGTATGATCTGCAGTTTGAAAAAGAGTGCAATTTATGCAACTAAAACTTGACTCTTCCCTAGTGTGAATATTTGTTGGATATGTGATATTTGTGATTTGATAGCCTTAACTGAGCTTGTGTAAATACTGAAGTAGTTTTAATAGAGGACCATGTAATGTAAAATATTAGATTGGCGATGGAATATTACTGTGAGCCCAACATAACAATACCTGGGTTGACTGACTTAGCAGGCATAAATGCTTAGTTGATGTTGATGTGCTGTTCACATTGTTGTGGATGCTGAATTTTGGGAATTTAAGCATGGATGTTATTTGAGTTTCTGTATCCAGGGGTGTGAATAGCTGTGAAGAATTTGACCAAACTCTCCTGAAAGCTTAAACTGTTACGTGAATTGTTTTTTCATATGCATTGTCTAACTTAAATGAACTGAACAGTATTCTCAGAAAGTAATTTGAAAGAACACCCAACTGAATACAGTAAAGGAAAGGAAAATGCTCCAGTTACTTTTTTGATATATAGTAATTGTGAGCCTTATTTTCATATATTAATGAATTAATGAATATTAATACATTTTAGACTTGGATTAGGATTATTACTTTACTAATATTATCAACCTTGCAATAAACTTGCGTACCTGTACTTGGTAGCCTTGAATTCACTTGGCTGTTCTTTTAATATTATTCATGATTAAATTTCTTGGTCGTTGGTATACTGTCTTTGACTCTGATCCTTTATTTCTTAAAGAATCTGTTAGTGGCTTAGATCAACTTGAGGATAACTCTCAGCATAAGCCAAGTTCTTTTGATTCTGATGGTCATCAAGATGGTAAGAGTGTGGAGATTTTGGAAGATATTGTTTGACTGTTATGTGGGATAACTACACACTGATTATCTTGTTAATATTGTAGGGGACAGCGGTCCTACTGAGAGACAGGTCTCCCCTGATAAACTTTATCGAGCTGCTGTATTGAAGAATCGATTTCTTGATACCATTTTGAAAGCTCGAGAGAAAACACTTACACAGGTAAGTCAAATCACATATGTTAGCTACAGTGAAGTTATGCTGCGTGTATTATCCTTCTGATCGTTGTTGAATCTGTACGTGGTTTGCTTCAATTTAATTTGGCTGTGATCAGGGTGAAAAGGGAGATCCTGAGAAATTGCGCCGGGAAAGGGAGAAGCTGGAGATGGAGCAAAGGAAAGGTGATTTAGTGGTTATACTTATGTACTACTTTGAGTGATGTGCCCATATTAACTAACATTACCTATTGATCCAACTCATTATCGATCAGAGAAGGCAAGGCTACAAGCAGAAGCAAAAGCGGCTGAAGATGCTCGAAAACGGGCAGAAGCAGAAGCTGCTGCAGAAGCCAGGCGAAAGAGGGAGCTTGAGAGAGAAGCTGCACGACAAGCATTGTTACAGGTAAATAACGGTCTATCTTGCCAAAAAAAATGTCCATCTGCTTGTTTGTCTGGGTCTTATAGGAGCATATGCTGGCATCTGTCCAGATGGAAAAAACCGTTGAAATCAATGAGAATTCTCGATTTCTGGAAGATTTGGAAATGCTTAGAGCTGTACCTGCTGAGCAATTGCCAAGCTCTGTAGATGAGACGAGTCCTGATCACTCTCAGGATGCCCTTGGCAGTTTCAAGTTTGGGGGTAACAATCCCTTGGAACAACTAGGATTATATATCAAAGCTGACGATGAAGAGGAGGAAGGAGAGCCACCCTGTGTTCCAAATCCTGTAAATGATGTAGAAGAGGGAGAGATTGATTAGAATTTATGCACATTTTGTATGCTGAATTGAGGAGCAAAATATACGTATCTTGATAAAAATGAAAAAAAGAAAAATACCCCATGTATTCTAGTTCTTGTAATGCATTAATCCATCATAAACGGGACGGAGCATATTTTCTTGTGGCAGCATTCAGCTTCTTGACGGACAATATTCAGTTTGGGGCTGTCATGGCTGAAGAGGAACCAAGGTAGGTGGTGCAATGAGATTAGTTTACATCAACCTCACTGTTTTTCTAATACTAGCTAGTGGCAAGAACATCGCGTCCCCTTCATTTAGGTTACGTTGTACAAAAAGATAGGTCTTAGAATTTGTGAACGTTGAATTAGCTCCATCTTTCTAGAAACTCTGCTTGTATTTGCGTTTGGTTATTCCTTTATTAAATTTTAAAGGCAGTTTCATCTTCAGAACACTTTGAACGTTTTGGTGTATAGCATAATTAAGAAACTTCCACGTGTTCAGCTTGTCTTTGTTTTCATTTCAGTTGAAATGTTTTGGTTAATTACACAATTATCACATTGGTTCATGTTTTAATGACTAAAAATAAAATGTTGCGAGCAAATCCTCGTTTTCAGCAGTTTTTTTTTTTTTTTTTCATAAATCAAGCCTTAAATATGGACGGGAGGCAATTAACTGGTCTCCTTAAATTGACTCAAATCATGTCATAACATGGCAGAATTTGGAACGCCAAATATTGCAGCTCAAAAATGATTCCGATTATCTTCAACAAAAGTTTACTAATGAAAGGGCATGTCTTATGTTTATTTACTTGTTTTTCATTTTTGTCTTTTGCAAAGTGTTACCTGTTAGAAACCAAAAAATAGACAACACAAATGACTGAATGATTTTGAGAATAATTATATTATTTGTTGTAAAAAAATAATACAAAAAGAAAATCTCTATCACTTAGCATAGGTCTATAATAAAATTTTATAGCAAAAATAAGATATATCTCTCTCTCTCTCTCTCTCTCTCTATATATATATATATAATCTTTATTTCTCACTATTTGGCAAACAACTCCTGCCATCTCATCCCTTATCCCAGTTTTTCTTTATATATACTTTCCATACTTTGGGCCTTTTTTCACACTCCAAGCCCACATTTTCACTCCTATTAATGCTCTCTTTTTTAAAATGAAACTTGTTCTTCGGTCTCAAGTTGAGAAATAACTTTTGATGTTGAACTTTTTTTACTATGTTACTTCTTTTATACTTTATTCTTTTTTATGTATTAGCACTTGAGACACTTGCTCCAAGCTTCTTGATAACATATTTAGCAAGTACAGCTTTTGGCTCAATAGGAACTTTAGAATCTACAGACAGATTTAATGAAAGTGTTTCCTTAATATTGTAATCACCTACAACCTTTTAAATAGTGAAACATGAAAAATATGATATATCCTTGCTAACTCAGACAACTGTAGTTTCGTGCCACAACTTCTACTTTTGCCAATAGCTTGAAGGGACTATAATAACGAAGAACTAATTTAGGATGAATTTTTCTCTCAAAGTCAACTGTACATGAGGCCTTAATTTAGAAAACTCATTCTATCGAACTAAATTATAGTTATTTGTATATTTTTTTTAAGTAAATAGTTTTTAAAAAAAAAAACAAATTGGTCAAAAGCCCCCTCTTTTTTTCATGATAATGCAAAAAACTCAAGTAAGAAAAGAACTATGAAAAAATGTTAATTAATGACAATTGCAGAATAGTTTTAATAAAATTACTATGTTTTTATGTCCAATAATAATAAATGTTGAATGAGAAAAGGAAAAGATACAAAGAAAGAAAGAAACAATATAATTGTAAAAATATATTTTCTTAGTTTTAATATACTATTTTTGTGAATATTTATCTATTCGGAGACCATGATTATTATTATTATTATTATTTTATAAAATACTTTGGGAAGAGGAGATAGTACTTATGCCAAGCTAAGTTAAATACCTAGAAATAACTTACGTTCATTTCACCCAAAAGAAATGAGTGAATGCCCAAACCTGTGACCTATCAAATATGAGACCCGCACTTAATTTGTGTTACAGACTAAAACATCCAATCATTTTATAATATAAATGCTTTTATTGTACTTAGAATTTATATATGATAAAAAAAATATTTTAGGGAAAAGATAGCAATTAATATTATTTTTAAATTTTACTTAAATATATAATCGAAACTCTTTTTTCTCTGTAAGCTTTATTTGAAGGACTTATGGATACTTTATATATGAAAATAACTATGACTTTTATAGGCTCTTTTTATTTTATTTCAATAAGTTTTTTAGTATACCTTATCAAAATAAATTATTTTATACTTATTCCAATAAATTGTATAATTCAATTAAAAATATAATTTATAATTTAAAAATAATTTATTGAATAAATACTAAATTAAGTTATGTATCTAAACACATCCTTAATAGTACCTACTTAAATTTATTTTATTACAAGACATTTTTAAAATTTTAAGTCATAAGGTATTTTTTTGAAATATTTATTAATTTATTAATTTTATTTAATAAATAGAGTTATTAGAACTTAACTTAAAATTTATAAAAATAAATATTAATAATAGGATTAAGTTTTGTGATATTAAAATAGTATAATTATTATAATATTTTAAAAAAATTTAAAAATAAAATTACTTTTAATTAATTTATTAACATTTATAAATTAAATCTAACTGATGAACAAAAGAGAGAGAATAATAGATATAAATAGAAACAAAAAATAGAATTACATGTTGTACGGAAAAAAGAATTTTAAGGTTTAAAATCAAATGAAGGGTTCAAATGCGTTGGAGCGCGGTGTAGTTGTAAGGAGGCGAGAAGTGAGAGTACTGAACTCCCGCTCTCGCCGCTGCCACACTCTCATACTCTTTGCCATTTTCTTCATCAATGGTTTCGCATTTGCCAATTCTAATCTCTCTCTGCTTCTTCTTCCAATCTCGTGATAACATTGAAGAAATCGCTTCAAGTCTCGTTGACCTCGTTCCTCTTTTCAGTTAGTGGCCGGTAATTGTGTAGTGCAAGTCACGTAGCTACATACACTTACCATTTTTTTTATTACTATTATTATTATTTGTATATCAGAGGATCATAGCTTTCCTAAGGAATCGATTTTAAATTTGTTGTGTTTCTTCCAAAAATTCCTTAGTGGTTTTATTAATTTTCACTAAAATAATTTCAAGTAATGAAGAGTAGCACTAACAATAGGAACTGAATGTGGAGATTGAGCTATAGCCAATAGGAACTGTAGCCATTGGTTGTGTCGTCGAACGTGATAGTAATGGCAAAGAGTAGGTTCTCTGGAGGGTATTGCGGTGGTGAAGTAGAGAGATATGGTGGATCAGAGGGGTCTGGTAGCTCGGGACGAATAGACACTGAAATTACTGTTTCGGAGGATTCTAGTATTTTGACAAGGAATTGTATTAGTTTGAATTCGAGTCGCCAAGATGTATTTGGTGTTCCTATGGAAGTTGTTCCCTTGTCGAATTTGTCACCCTTTCAAAGAAAAGATCTGGTGCATAGGTTTAGGTCTGAACTTAAACAGATTCGGATGCTTCAGAAGAAAATTGAACTACAAAGAACAAATGGTATTCTTAGCTGTGGTGATGGCCATAATGGACCTCGAATGGAGAACTTGAGAAAACCATCGATGTCTGGTTCCCTACCAGGGAATAAATTGAAACCTTTAAGTCAGAGTCAGAAGCCTTGTGGATGGAATCGGGGATCTTCTGGGAAGTTTGAATCTGCAATGCGGACTTCGCCTCCAGGCACTGCAATGGCTTTATTGATGAAAGAATGTGAGTCACTGTTGAAACGATTAATGAATCACCAGTATGCTTGGGTTTTCAACACCCCTGTGGACGTAGTGAAGTTGAATCTTCCGGATTATTTCAATATTATTAAGCATCCGATGGATTTAGGAACGATAAAAAGCAAGATAGCTGCAGGAATGTATGCAGGTCCGCTGGAATTTGCTGGTGATGTGAGGCTTACATTTTCGAATGCAATGACCTACAATCCACATGGGAGTGATGTCCATCTCATGGCTCATACCCTCAGTAAATATTTTGAAGTGAGATGGAAAACAATTGAGAAGAAATTGCCAAGAAGTGATCCTTTGCCATTGCCTGCGAAACCAGACACTTGTGAAGATGTAAAAAGTACTAGACCAGTGCCTCCTTCAAAAGAGAGAAAAATCACCTCATTGGCTTCTCAACCTGTAGTTATGCCACCTGCTAAGCAAGTTATGTCAGATTTAGAGAAGCACAATCTAGGTCTAGAATTGGAGTCTTTGCTGGGGGAGGTGCCTGTGCATATCATTGATTTCTTAAAAGAAAATTGTTCAAATGGTAGAGAAAGTGGAGAGGATGAGATTGAGATAGATATCGATGATCTTAGTGATGATATACTGTTCACATTACGAAAACTTTTGGATGAATTTTTGCTAGAGAAGGAAAACAACAAAGCAAAAGTTGAAGTGTGTGAAATAGAGGTACATCCCTGCTAATTAATTCATAAATTAAGCTAGAACCACATTGTGTCTGAAGTGTACTCAGCCTTCCTCTTCACAATGAGATGTTAGTCTTAGGTACATATGATTTGACTTTGGTCATCTATGTTTTCTGTTGCAGGTGTTGAATGATTCTGGACCAAGCAATTCCTCATCGCAAGCATTTAAAGGTTTTAGTCTGCATGTTTGTGTGTGTGTATGCATACTCTATTTTTTTTTCCCATTTAAATTTGTTGCACTTGTAGGTAATGATCTAGCTGATGAAGAGGTGGACATTGGTGAAAATGAGTCCCCTGTTTCAAGCTATCCTCCTGTGCAGCTTGAAAAGGATGCGATTTGCAGAATCAACCAAAGTTTAAGTCCAGGAAGCAGTGGTAAGAGGGGTTTGAATTTCCATATGATGCTTTTGAATAATTTAAGTAATTTTGTGATTATTCTAGGATGTGAAGATCTGATCATAGGGTACATCTGTTTTCATGATTTGTGAAGATATCTCTTTGAAATATATATTATATACATGTTTTATTTTTATCTCTTCAATTTGACATTTATCTTTGTCATAAGTTTATAAGCTATTGTTTGAAGCCTAAGATAATATATGTTCAGGCAATTGAATTGTCTTTTGCCATTGTTTAGACAGCAAAGACTTTGGTGTGAAGTAAGGGAAACTTTCCACTTTTCAGTATTTGTAGGCTGACCCTTTTTCCAAAAGATCTTGGCTGAAGCCAGGAACATATAATGATGAATTCATCTGAGATTTGCAATACTATTTTTGTCTAGTCTATGAACTTTGAAGGAAAACTATTCTGTTATATTTGAAGTTCTAAAATTTCTCTTTTGATTGCAATTGCATTTATCTGTTAAGGAAGGGTGTGAATCACAGGGGGGGGGGGGTGATTTTGTAAGTACTACTTCTGTGTCTTTCTATCTGTCCAATTAGGAGAATAATACAGACTAAGGAATGTAATTCATATTCCCATTTATATTTAAATCATTTTTA